ATCATATCAAAGAAACCTTGTGTTCCAGTATCATATCAGTGTCAAATCCAAAAGAAATAGGAATAGTAACTTTCAGATTAATAATCATACCTCATTTTGTGCATATTTAGAACAAGGAAAACCAATTGTTTGATTAGAATGTAAATCTGGGAATGGAGACATAAGTTGATTAGAAGGAATACAAAGTCAGACATATTAAGTCACAAGTAAGAAGTGTGACATATTTGTAGAATGGAAATATGATAACACAGTCATAGATGCAATTATCATTTCTGTATTACTCTATTGCCGGTGATAAGAAGGACCCACATTTAAGAGCCTGATGTTTTTTCTTTGAGTGGAATACAGTTGTTAAAGTTAAATTGTATTCTTGGCTGTCCATCCAACTTGTCAAGTAAGTTATTCCTGGGTACACTGGAATAGCCTGAGCAGTCTCTTTACCTGATCTTTGTTTGTGAGTGTGATAATCTACCTCTTTTTAATTATACAATTGTGTTTGCAATATCACACTATTTTGTTTTTATGTAATTTTTTAACTTCTGTTAATTTAGCCTTTTTTTATCTGTTGTTTTTTGTAAGTAATTTGTTTATCGTCATTTGTTTTGTGCTTATTGTATTTGGTGGGTTTTTAGTCTAATTTACCTGTGGGATCAGGCACCCCATTTATAAATTGTATTGGTGGTGACAGCATTATAATTTGTAATATTTATATTATTGTGATTAAGTGTGTGTGGTGTTAATGATTTTTATCATTATTTCCGGTCTAGTGCAAACATATAGTGAACTTTAACCAGAACTAAGTCACGCATACTCTAGGAGCAGGGTGATCAGTTCCACTGCCGCCGTAGCTATGCAAAAGGAAAGGTTTTTCTTTTTTAACTTTGTAGTGAAAAACACTGCAAGAAAAAAAGAATTTCGTTTTACTTAGCAAAGAAGGACACATGAAACTCTAAACTGATGATGCTTCGATCAATATGCAGCAGTTTAAATTTTTCAAACTAGGTCAATCAGATTGAGGTGTCTTTTGAAGATATCAATATATGTAAGTAACTCTAAGTTTCACTTATTGAACAGGCATTTTTTGTATTCATTTCAGGTTTACATATTATTATGTACAATTTGGGGAAAAATATGCAACTTAAAAGTCCACCACTTGATATCAAAATGGAAGAAATTTCCAGAGACACCATATCTTTCCGTTTGTTGCTCAGGTAGGCTGGGATCATTGCAATCCAAACACTGCAGAACACCAGCATGCTGAAGGTAATGCACGTGGCCTCATTAAAACTGTCTGGTAATGTCCTGGCCAACAATGCTAAACTAAAACTAACAGCTGCCAGAAGGCCCATATAACCCAGGACAGAGTAGAAGGCAATAACAGAACCTTCATTACACTGAATGATCATCTTGCCTGGATACGAATGTAAATCCATTTCCAGAAAGGGTGGATAATTCATTAACCACATTGTATTAATTAGAGCTTGAATGGATAAAAACATTGCTACAAACAGATTAGACAGATTGGCAACAATGCATCTTTTCCAGGAGCTTCCAGGTTTGGTGGCACTGAAAGCAATGAGAACCATGATTGTCTTGGTTAAAATACAGGAGACAGCTATCGAGAAGATGATTCCAAAAGAGGTTTGACGCAGAATGCAGGTTATATTCACCGGGCGACCAAGGAACAAGAACACATAGAGGAAGCTCAGTAAGATGGAGATAAGGAGGATGAAGCTGAGACTCTTGTTATTGGTTTTTACAACAGGTGTGTTGTGATAGTAAATAAAAATAACTAATGTAACTACAGTTATAACAATAAAAAGTGACGATATAGAGAAAAAGATCACAGAAAGTACATCATTGCTGTACGATAGAAATTCTTCCAGTTTTGGAAAACACTGATTCTTCTTCTTATTGGGCCATTCAGTATCAGGGCATTTTATACATTTTTCACTATCTGCAAATAACAAACAAAACAAAAAAGTCTCAAGTTAAAAACCATTTATGGCAACGTGATTTTCACAATTAAGGTAGATTTCAATTTAAAAATAAGGTAACATTATTAACACGATTTTGTTTCTATAAAATCAAATTATAACTATCTTTATTACCTTAACAACAGTCAGGATATTGGATATACTGTCACCATGAAATACCTTTAAGGAACACTATTCCATTAGGAATACATTTAGGTTCCCAGCTTCCACATTTCACTTAGCATTTCCCGCTCGGATCGCTAGACTCTGTGGCTGAGCGCACCACCTTGTCTCAGATCAATGAGATTATCTAAGCCAATCCAATTCTTTCCCATAGAAAAGTGTGCATTAGACCACCTAAAAGAAATAATATGTTTTCCTCTGCTATTTCATGGTGCCTCCAGTGTCTGGCTGAGTGACAGCCTCTAGTGGCATTTAAACCAAGTAATGGAAAGTTGGCAATTCTGCAGCACAGCAATGTTTTATTTTCCTGGGTTAAAATGAGGGGGGCATGGCATTAAGAATATTTTATTGGTCTGGCTGCCTTTAGTGATGGCTGATGCATGCTGTTGAAGGAAAATATTTTTTGCTCGGGTAAGGGCTGTTTAGATAAACAGGATGGAGCCAAAAAGATTTTAAGAAAAGCCAGCACTCTAAAACTCCTGCAGTTGAGATGATGGGGTGACTGTTCCCAATACCCATCTAACTCTCTCCCATGTAGTCAAACAGTTATTACTCCAGTACTGACCAGTGAATAAATTTCTATCAACTTATTTCATTACCCGTACTTATACCCTGTGTGTCACTATACCCCACTCCCTCTAGCATGTAAGCTCATTGAGCAGGGCACTCAACACCTCTGTTCTTGTGCGTCCATTTGTCTGGTTACAATTACGTGTCTGTTAGTCCGCCCATTGTACAGCGCTGTGGAATTTGTTGGTGCTATATAATGTGACGAAGTGCCCTTCGCCACTTTGTCCTGGAGAGGCCTGCTTGCCTGACTCCTCCCCTGCGACTATGGCCCTGGGGAAATTGTACCCTCTTAAATCAGCATTTGGACTTATGGACTTTTATTGGACTGTGTATGGCCCTTTAAGAACCGTCTGTGGGCACATTGTGACTTTGGTGAACAATGTCCCTTTAAGACTATGGCCCCTGGAAGATATTGCCTGTTAAAGACTATTTTAGCAGATTGGATTTTAAAAGACTCTTGCTGTTATAGTACATGTATAAAAACTGTATTTTTCCTGCCTGTGTTAATTATGTTAAGCATTGTGTGCCATAATTAGATCACAGGCAAAGGGGAGGATTTTTTGGGGTAATTGCTGGGAGTGTTTTCTGTAATGTACTTGTGTTATTGGTTGTTCTGTAAAACCCTGTGGGTGGTCCTATGTAGGGAAAACCTGCATAAAAGAAGGCCCTTTGGTGCCAAGTAATAGAGTTCTTCTTCACCCTCAATTTAGAGTCCTGTCTCTAATTGGGGGAATTGCTATATCACTGCAAGGGATTGCTATGCTCTGCATGCTCCCTTGGATAATCACTTCTTAGCTCTTGTAAGAGCTTATTCCTGTTTCCCTCTCTTGGTGGAGAGGTTCAGGGTGGGTAGGAGACGGTGAGACCCCAACCGAGCTGCGACGGTTTGTGGGGTCTGCGGTGGTTGTGGTGTCTGCGAAGCGCTTGGAGCCCTCTGTAAGAACTAGGAGCATCCTTCAATGGAGGTACCCAGTAGGGGTGCCAGGTGATCTGTTGCATATAAATAATAAATAATAATAACAATATAATATTGCATTTTGGCAATGGATCCTGTATACTTTCTGCCCCTATGGATTAAAATCATTCTCTTTTGATTTTAAGAGGTGGATGGGGGTTCTGTGCATTCTCCAAATCATGTATGAGGTCTGCTGTCTAAGTGAAAATATGTGCGGTTAATGTGGTTAATGGAGGGTGGATGAGGGTACTCAAAGAAGTGGGAATCTGCACGGGGTATTTGGGGTGGATGAGGGTACTGGGAGTAGTCTATGCATAACATGAACTTAGTAGGTTTAGCGGGGGGTATTCAGGTTAGTCGGGGAAGAGTGAAATTAACAGAAATAGGGTATCTGGTCCTTGACTTTAGATCCAGACCTGAACTGCTGCATCTATCATCCAGTTCTGGATGGTGGCATTCCAAGCTGGTGGCTAGCCAGACAGGAAACACAGATTTGACTCTGTCCCTTGTCAGTATATTTATACGAACAGACATTTTGTGTTAAGAGAGAAATTAAAGGTGTATACTGTAAATCACCATCAGAACAGAAGTGACTCAATTTTATAAAAGAATACAAAAAAACAGACACTTTTTTTTTCTCTCTGTACTCTAGTCACTCAAGCCTGAGCTAATGAATCTGACTAATGTAAACATTGGCAGAGATAAGACATGATGTCTGCAGAAAGGGGGGTTGAATGTAAGAACCCAGAGAAAAAAAAATAATAATAATTAAAAAAAATAAATAAAAGAAAAAAAAATAAATATATATATATATACACACACAGACACACACTATACAAATATAACTAACTATAAGTATCTTAAAAATAGTACTAAGTTAATAATATAGAATATTCATGTCATATTATTTACTAATGTTAGTGAAATATGTGTAATAGACATGTATAAATCAAATGTGTAATATTACTATGTGCTACACACAGTTTCATACAAGAAAATCAGACACAGGATTATCTTTGACAGATAACACAAAGTAATTAATTTCACTTTTTAAAAACGAACAGAATCTTACAAAGTTACATTGTATAGAGAGGTTAAGAAGTGTTTAGGACGTGTCAGAAACTAATTTAATAGCACAAAAGTAGACGTTCTGTCTGGTAAAAACCAAAGAAAAGTCTTAGAAGATTGACAGCTTTTTAACGAATAGATATCATAAAGATAACCAAGATGACGTCTAACGCATTACGAAATTCAGTTAACCCATTATATAAAAAGTAGACCCCTGACTAGAATTTTCTGTGATATAATTGTGCCATCTACTGACCAAATTCTAGATGATAGTTTGTAGGGAAGAAACACCCATCTTACTCTATTGGTCACTATCAACTAGTGACGAATAGAGAACTTCTCCTTTGAAAATTAGGGACAAAGGAAAGAGAGACACTCTCTGAGAATGGACTCACATCTTACATCTAAGATCTGACATCTGGAGCCAAAGCTAGACACACCTAATTATTTGTATCTTTTCCAACTGACACTTAACTTTGAGATTCTTTAAAATTCAAAACTCTGAAAACTTTCCTATTTTTCACAATTCTCATCATACTTGCATTCACCATTTTTGGGATAGATCTGCAAGCCTGAAAAAAAAAAAGAAATTCTACCAAGAGCTGGTAATTATACTGATTTTATTAAATTAATTTAAATTAATTGATTTTACTAAGTGGCAGAAAATGCTTGGATAAAAGCTGGTGATTCCAACATTAAGGAGTCATGATTTGTTTATAAAATATAAAATTCGTAATTTCATTCCTGCAGGTGGACCAATGAACTTTATATCACTTTTAACTGTAAAAAATAGAACACGAGGCAATTATCAAGATATATTAGCTTACATAATTTAGAAATCGTAAATCTTAATTAAGTTAAAATTCTGCAAATGTAAAAATCTGGTTATAATTATTCTTATTGGATGGACATAGGAATGGTAAAATGATCTGGTATGATAAATACTGTATTTGTAAAAATTGCAATATAAAAAGATATCTTGCCTATGAGAATTGTAGCCTGCAGGGAACGAGTTGATTCAATGTGATTTGACTGTCAGCCAAAGTTTTTATTGCTTTACGCTGTGCTGCTGTGAGATGCTGTGTTGTGTGTTAAGGAATGTTTAGCAAGCTGATTTCAAAATGAAGTGTCCTGTCGTAAAATCTTGTTGAAAACTGCATACATGTCAGTATAACTGTTGCTTTTTAGCTGTCTGTAAACTGTGTTAAACCACTGCCATATTATATACATACATTATACCTAAATATTCACTGAATATTGTCATGCATGTTACATATTATTATTATTATTATTATTATTATTATTAATAATAATTATTGTCACAATAAATTATATTTTTATAATTAGTTTGTGATTATTGTGTGAAATAAAAATCCTCTAATAAAACATACTCCAGGATCTATGGGAATTAAAAATAGTGGGTAATTTTCAGCTTTACATTAATAATCAAGGGGAACCATGCCAATATATAAATTTTGATATAATGAAAATTATTACATTAATTTTTGACAATTTTTATGAAAATATTATTTTAATATTCATCACCCCATAAATATCCCAGCATCACGGGGAAGTGGAGATCAGCCAATGTCACCCCCTGTGTAAGCAGCCAGTGAGAGCTCAGTAGGCTGACCTGTCTTTATGGTGTCCTAATAAAATGCATTGACAAGCAGCAGACAACTTCTCATAGAATTTTGCTAGATTTGGTAAATATGCCCAACCATCTGGTAAAGCTTATTTTCACATCTCCATAGCAACAATAGAGGGACACACTAAAGGAAGCTGCACTACTAATAATTAAAAGGACATAACATATTTTTGTATATGAATTTAGGAGAGTGTGCAAGTAACTATTTTCTTTGGTTGTTATTGTATGTATTGTGTGCTATAATAATTGGTGCCAACCCAGCAGTAGTGGGATTTATTTCTGTATACTTGCGTTTGTGTCACACAGCCATGTTACAATGCTGCCGCCCACCCCATGTGTTCCCTATTAAGGGTTAATAAATTTGCAGGGGTTAGAAAAATACCCCTCTCTGTCACATTAAAGATTTTTGTTTACCTGAAGCTGAAAGATGTAAAGTGAATTGTAAGTGTTGGACTCCTCTAAGAGGTTTGCTTTGACGTGGCATGTGGGCTTACACTCAGGTGCATAGGGATTTGGGATAGCGCACAAGTAAGTCTTTTTTTCCTTTGGTTTATACTGTAGTCATTGCTGTCCCCCAGGACTAGTGGGAGTTTGAGTGCAGGGCTTTATTTTGTAGCTGCTTTTCTATTACACAGCCATGTTACAGTGTGCCACCCACTCCAGGCTTAATAAGTGAGAGTTATCTTTAGAGATTTTACCTTTTAGCTGTAAGGAGCAAGGTCAATTGTTAGTGTGGGATTTTCTTGATGGGGCAGGTGAGCTTACTCTTAAAGTATCAATTGGTAAGTACTAAATACTGCTATTCTTTAAATGTGCATTTCTATTTCGTATATTTTGCTTTTGAGCTATGCATTCTGGCTGATTAATACTATAGCCATTACTGAAGCCCATGAGTAGTGGGAATTTGAGCAGAGCCTAATGTTGTTTATTAGTATAATGGATGAGGTTAGTTTGCTACGTGAGGTGATGAATAAATAAGAACACTGAATGAAGTTACTAATTAAATAATAGGGAGCATCTGATTTTAGGAAGAATTATGTACAGCAATATGTAAAATATTGATGGTTATATCTCATGATACAGTTAGGGAACTGTGATTCTAACAAGGGCTACAAAAATATAAAAAAAGCAATATTTAGCATATAGAAATCTATTAACATATTATTTGATAAATGTATATATGATAACTATGCATTCTCTGACCTACCATTTTAGACAGATATTTTGCATGTATTTCATGCCCCTGTTTTCCATGACACTGGAGTGCTATCCCCACAGAAATGTACTATTTCACATATTCGTCAAATACAATATTACAATAAGACAGTATGTACCTGATGTATTGGATATTTCTCCTTCTGCACACTGAAAACAGTTATAACAACAGATATGTGTGCTAATCCCTTTTCGGTACCCGGGCACACAGCTTTCTGAGCACTGAGACTTTGGAGCCTAGAAAAGAAAATTAAATGTAACAGCTTGTGAAACTGTAGTCCATCCAGCTTGGCATGAGCAAAGCACCCTGTATGGGCAATTTTGTGATTGCTGGATATTATCTCACTAATGTAAAATGAAAGACAAAAAATTCACTGATAATAAATACATATGTAGCGGCCACCCCGATAGAGAGAGTGGTTTACACCACCAAGAGATGTTCTTTCCCCCTAGTGTGAAGAGAGCCGCGATAATCCTTAGACCGAGAATCCTAAAACACGAGGAAATAGTGATATAGCTACTCCTCCAAGCACGAGACGAGGCTCTGTGTTGAGGGTAAAACAGGAACTTGTTTTAATGGAGCCACAGGCTGCCTTTTATGTAAGTCCCCATGCAAGGGGTTTCTGGTTACATATTCCAGGAGCATTCCCCACTGGAACTGAGAGGGTATAGCGACATGAACACACATAATTACATTAGCTCCAGGACAGGACATACAGAATCAAAATACCCACAAATACACATTTAGCAGTGAGGTACTCCCTCAAGTCCTATATTCTCTGGTAGCTTGGATCTGAGCATCCAACATATGTCGAAATCACTCAGATCCCACGAATATAGCCAAAACGCCACCAGGGTATAGTTTAGACCGACCGCACATGAGGCACCTGACCAAAACAGTTCCATGAAATCAGGCTTTGCAAATGGTCTCTTTCGGAAGCATGAAAACATATCAAAATTGCCTGGAGTGTGTCGGCAATTAACTTCCCAAAAGCTGCGGTTAACTGCAGCTTAATTTACGAATGCTGGGTGGCCTATGTTCGGTTGCCGAACACGTGGCGGCGACCATTTTAAAGTCCCGAACGGCCAGCGGTGTTCAGCGCCCAAACTGTGGGACTGTAAACAGACACTTATTTGCACGAACACCGCTGAGCCGTCAGCCTCCTTGCTTCTGCATTCGGTAAGTTAACCAAATGCTTGTTCATTCGGTAGTTTAAACCATATGAACAGCATTACCCCAGATAGCCATCCCGTGGAGTCTATTTGTATGGAGAACAGACTTTAGAAACACTTTAACTCCACGGCGATTGGACTGTGTGCATAGGATCTGAGCGCTATTCGGTACTTTTGTGCGCTCAGATCTAAGCTATCTGGGTTGCAAGTATATATTTTGTGTGATAAATGTAATATTGTGCATTTTATTGTGTTTTAGTGTTTTACTGTAACCGTGTGGGTAATGGAGTTTTTCCTCTGTCCTTGGAGATAATTGGATTACTTCCCAATTATCTCAAGGACAGATGGAGGGAAGTTAGGATGCATTGTGGGGATGTTTTACCTCTGTGTGTCTGTCATTGGTTAATGTCTGTCCTTTGTCACAGTCTCCCATTTGGTCCCCTAGGGGAGTGTCCACCAGGTGGGAGACCTGCATAAATACTGGGCAGGTAGCCCTCATTAAACAGACCACTGCTTTACCCTCAACATGGAGCCTTGTCTCGTCTTTGGGGGGATTTACTGTATGCTGATAGAGACTGATTGCTAGGAGTGTAAGCCGCTTGGGTGCTTTTCCTATTCGTCTACTAGCAGCTATTCGTGAGGTTCCAGTTCGAGAGTTTGGAGTGCTATTTTGTATCCAGTTCGGGAGTTTAGAGCATTCCCTTATATGCGGTTCGGGAGTTTGGTGTTCTGCAGTAGCTGTGCCTGTATCTCTGGAAGGGGAAGATCGACTAATAATAACCGACACAATTAAAAAAAAAAATCCATCTTCACCCATGGAGGGCTCCGCGCAGACTGAGCTCTGCAGGGCGGGGAAGACTTATAAAGCCTTGCCCCGCCCTGCAATTAAGCTCCAAACACTCTTGTGATGGAACACTGGCACTCCGACTGAGTACCTCCGCCAATCGATGCTTCTAGTGCTCGCTGAGGACTCCAAGCACTCCAGCCGACACCATCAGCACTGCAGACCCCACTTCCAGCGATGCAACTGCGCCGGGGTCTCTGCTGTCTCCACCCACCCTGGACCCAAGGCCAGGATCCAGCTTCCAGTGGGTGAACCTCTCTTTCCCCAGAGAGTAGGAACAGGAACAAGCTCTTAGCAGAACTTAGTGAACATACCCTGGGGAGTATGGTGATTATAGCAATCCCCAGAGTGTATTTCTCCAATCCCCCAAACATGAGCTAAGGCTTAATGCTGGAACAAGACTGATTTACTGGCACACAGAACTCACAATTTATGCAACACAAAACTCCTCCTCTGGGCCAGCCTAGATAATTGAGTTTCTACAATACACAAAGCTCAATTATCTGCTGGCCAGAAATAATACAGTTTTTACAGCATTCAGAACTTCTAAAATATACATCACATTCACATAAAAATTATATATTCACA